TAAATAATATTTAAACAAAAATTTAAAGAAGTATAAATTTAATGTTATTAAAAAGAAAAAAAATTCACCTAATTCATCCAAAACGCGGCTTTCGACCTATTTAAGAATTGAATTGACCCAGTCAATAAGTTAAAATTTAAAAAGATATGTTTATAATATAAATTGAAAGAGTAAATTTTCCCACGGAACGGACGAAAAGATGAACGATCCGGAAAGAACTACTCGAGGAGTTAGTAGCGACATTCTTGTCCCCAATCATCCCTAATTTCATTTATCTTAGCGTTCTTTTAAAAAAAATGAATGGTCGTTTCTTCCTTCTTAGGCTTTTCTTACACGTGATATAATTATTTTTTTCATTTCTGTAATTTTTTCAATTTTTTTTAATTTTTGGTTTTAAGAATATTAAAATAAAGAACAAAATCTTCTACAAATTAATCTCAGATTATATTATTTCATCCAACAGACTGACCAACAAAAATTAGTGAATTTTACATTTATTTCTAAGGCGCTTGACTAATAAACTAAATTACTAAACTAAAGAAACACTTGACTAACTAAACTGAACTAAACTAAAATATCAATAACTATCTAATTTCTGGAATTAGCAGATTAACTCCATTACATTAAATAAAATAAATTCATTCATCAAACTGCCTGATTAATTATTCAATTAACCAAATTTTATTTATGTTGTCTTTATTATAGATGTGTTTGAGTTGTTGACTTTATTAACCTCTACATCACTCTACATCAATTAACTTTTCATGTATATGATTTTATAATTATATATAGTATATACATACAGACACACATAAACACACATATATATTGTATATTAACAACAAAGTCTACATAGTCATTATTATGTATTTTTCATCTAAATAATATATATATATATATATATATATATATATATACAGACAAACACAAACACACACATATATGTTGTATATTAACAACAGCAACATTAACAAAAAAGACACCATTATTTGTATAATTAACTTTCCAATGTTAATTGGATTTTGTAATTTTGTTAACTGAGCACAAGCATATATTCAACAGCATCAGTGTTTATTTATCAATAGTTTAATTAACTCAAATTTACTGACCATGGATTAAGCACACATGTATACATACATAAATACACACACACATACACACTGATAATATCTGTGTTTATATATATATATTTTTACAATATTCTATAAATTCTACCGAATGTTTGGCGTTAATATGTTTGTAGTTCATTTTTCGATTTTTCTCACAAAATTTTGTTGGAGAATGTTTATTTTATTAAAATTCAAAATAAACTTATTTTCCGAATTCATGCTGCAAATAAGGAATCAAAA